AGCCCTTTTTTTGGCTTGTATTTTTTCTTGGATAAAGTAGCTGGTAGTACTGCCTGGTCCGATTAATTGTCTTCTAATATTAGGAATATATATATATACATATATATATAATCTTATTTGTGCCAATTTATTTGCATGCACTTGTAGTTTATCGTTGAGGGTGCATGCGTATATCATCCCGTGGTCATATTAGGTAATCTGTCTAATATTGAGGTCATAACATATGCTGAAACTGCATTGGAAGTCTACTTTTGATTAGCACTGATTTGTTACAAATAAAGATAGAGCATCTTAATGCGGCATTATTCGGAATTTCAATAATATGTATAGCTTGGATAAACATTGTGCTCTAAAACGAGCCTAAATTTTTCAGCCTAACATCCAAGCTTCATTGTCGTAAGACAATTGTGATGGGGCCACTCTCTAATGTGTAGTTTATTGCAGCCATGCTAGATACTAGTAATTCTACACCGATCTCTTTTATCTCAACCTCTGCTTATCAAAGCGTTAGCATAGATATTAAGGAAAAGGAAGAGCTAGCGTAATATTCGAGGTCTCTTCACTGGACTTGGCTAGGACTATCCTGTTCTATTTTACAATCAATTTAAAAAACTTTAAAGTGAGACTATCAATTAATCCTGTTACAGACAGCAAAATTCATTTAGGGCGGTTACGGTTTTAGCCATACTTTTTTATGAGAGAAAAAACTAAGACACTTCTGTAGCAAAGCCAAGCAAAATTGAGTAATCGAAGCTGTAAAGACCAAGATGGTATGGCGTTTAACATGGTTGTAGTTTCAGTTTTCTTTTTATAGGAGTGGTCTGACTTCGTTTTCGCAGCTAAGTCGTTTTGTCAAAGATACCTAAACAAATTCGACTTGTCCGGAGTTCCTTGCCTGAATGGCAATTTACAGCGTCGGGCCTTGGACTTGGTACATCCTTTGACAACGCGGCAAAGTTGCCAAAACTATGTCAAACCACGCCTAAAGAATATGTAATATTTAAGAAAATTATCCTGACTACTTGAAACCTTAGATTATTTACTTTATGAGTGTACCAATTTGCTCTACAATGGAAAATGTGTGTGACTTTCCTTTGGCCTACTTGGTGTGAATATTCTACATGGATAGTAGAGGATTGAACTTGATTCACTAGTCAGTTTCAGAGCAATTGAGGTTACGAAAATCCAAATTTGATTGGATTAAACGTTTGAAAATTTAAAATAAAAATATGTAGATATGAAGACTGAGATTGTGTGATCCCTAAATTGGTGGCATTCCCCTTTCGTTTCTTGATAAAAATTGAACAAGAACTATAAAACGTAGATATGAAGACCAAGATGGCGGGACCTTCTTTTTTGTCGCAGTCTCCTTTAGCTTTATAGTGTATGTTTTACCTCTTTTGCTCAACTTGGTTGGAGCATCATATAGACTTTGGGGAACATACCTAGTCCTGTGTACTCTGTCATAGTATTTGTCATTTCTAGCATCAGGCCAGTGACTTGGTACATTCCTAAATGTATCACCGGCGTCGTAGTCAGCATCGTAAATGAGAGCACCGAGTTACAAGTTGTCAAAGTGAAAAGTGAAGGAAATCTCCTTGACCAATTTTCTGTTCTGAACTTTAAAGATTTAGTATAATATTTAGCGATAACTACTGCATAACAAGAGCTAGAGGTGTGACTACATAAATATTTTTATTACCTTCAATATGTCGGTATTTTATTATTCAAATCATGTTTTCATTCATCGCATCTGTCCCATTTGCCTAAGGCTCGAATACTGCTTGGTAATTTTCTTTATTTTTCTTTCCTGATTAAAAATATTAATAAAATATTTTTTCGTAAAATAATCCTCTATCTATTCAAACGGATTGAATTCTATGTATGTTAAATCGTTATTTTATGAAAAATGTTTTAAGCTTGCAATCTTTGAGTAATTTCGCAATAAACTTTCTTTGATCGCTGATGGTCCTTCAGCCTACCAGAACGTCATTTATGATTTCTAATTAATTATACTATAATTTATAGTGCGCTTTACATATTTGCTTCTTATGAAACTATCTTCCTATCTCATCCATTACCTTATTATTTTGTTTTTGCTTCCCACAGTCTTTAAACTCCATTGTTCGTACGGGGACCACAAGGCCTGCCAGCCTTATTCCTGAAATTTCCAGTGATATATCTGCAAATGCTCCCCATGGATTCATTCAAAATAATTATTCTAATAGGGCTTCAGGCACAAGCGTGGCTGGTCAAAGTGCGGATTTTTCATCCTTGTCAAATTTTGTTGTGCCCCAGGCAGCTCCTCCAAGCAACAGCGCTTCTAGTGAGGATGATGTTGTTATGCTTTCTGGAGGTGAAGACGATGAAGCTAATAATGATGGAAACACTAGGAGTGCTGATGCTGATACTTCCCGTGATGATTCAACATTGACTGTTTTTTCGAACCCGAAAAATTCGAATCTCCATTTCACTGCTAATCTATCTAATCCGAATTCTGAGAAGTCTTCCCACATTATTGACAATTCTGGCACTATCATACCTATCCATTTTTATTTGCCAGACTTCATGCTAAACATGGTAGGTAATTTCTTTTTTTGCATGCTATGGGTGGTAAAACTAGATTTTAATAACTTGATTTTGGTAAAAAAGTAATATTACCTCGTTTTCGCAACTTGCTCGCGTAGTCAGATAGACATTGTTGGACTCACCTTATCCGAGATCCTTTGCTATATTAATTATGATTATTCTCAGCATCAGGCTTTGAACTTGGTACATTCCCAGACGTTTCGCTGGCATCTTCGGTGAGTCGCCATTCTCAGCACTAAGCAGCAACTCATCAAAGAGATAAGTGAACTCAATCCCTTGACCAAATTTGTGCCGAAACGGTTAACTAGATCCCCCTGACAATATGACCAAGTTGCATAAACGAAATCATCACTTCTATACATCGAAATGAGACTGCGACCAAAACAGAGGTCATGATATCTTGGTCTTTATTTCTGCTGTTAGTAACTTTGGGATGATGGAGATTACTGAATTCAGAACTCTTTTTAGTTCAGATAGTTTCATATTTTGGGTGCAGCGTATTGATATCAAACTTTTTACAACCAACATGCAACTCATATCAACCTATTTCGATTTTGCCTATTATACGTATTTTAATTTAAGATATACTGAAATTATATAATTCGCGATCGCCTCTTAAATGATGTGATCGTGTTGGTAAGATACAATTAGCTAGCTTTTTGGCAGATTATTGGCAGTTAAGAAGTTATTGTAACA